GAACAACAGAAGTAAGCTAATGTGTATTGCTGTAAGGTGCTAACAAGGTTGGGATTGTTTGTTACACAGCAAAGGATGACTGACAGAGTAGATGCAGATGACTCTAGGACAGCCAGAAATTGCCTTGAGAAAAAAAGATGATTTTATTCAGTGTTCCTTCCCTGTTCCTCCCTCCTGCCCTCAAAGCATTATGACATAAGAAAGTGATGTGCTCATCAAGAAGGAGTCTAAAGACTTAGCGCTGTAACCTGCTTCAGTCCTTAGCATCTGTCAGCCTTGGTCTCCCCACTTCTAATTGAAGAACTGAAAATATAACCTGATGACTGTATAATCTCAGGGTTTTATAATAGTTAAGACTTTAAGTCTTGAGTAGGAAGACTGGTTGTTCATTGGCAGCCCCACCCATTGGCTTGCTGGGTGACCTCAGGCTATTTGCCTAATTTCTCTGCACCTGTTTCACCTCCCATAAAGCAGGCTTAATAATATCTACTGGGCCAGCAAGAGAGCTCAGCAGACTAAGCGCTTGCTTAGGCAAGCGCAGAGACTGGGGTTTGATCCCCAGTCCCACATGCCTTGCCGCCCCACCCGCAGGTATGCTGAGCTGGCAACAGGGCCCAGACATGGTGGTGCATGCCTGTAATCCTAGCTCTGGAGAGGCTAAGACAGGAGGATCACAGGAGTCTGAGCTGCATAGTGAGACCCCGTGCAAATATATTAAATAATAATAATATCTACTTATAACATTGTTACAAAAAATCAATAAAGTTATATCTATCCGTTACTTAGCACACAATAAATGGTCAATAATGACATGGTATGGGGTATGATTATTTCTGCATATAGCTCTGACACAGGAGGATTGGAGAGGTTGAGGATTTCATTCATCTGGATCAGAGCCCAGGTGTGTGGGTCTTTTTCAAAAATCTCCAGATCATCTTTGAGACAATCTGTCCTAGACAAATTTCCACGCAGGTGCCCTAAAATCATCCAACTTTTCACTCTAATGCTGTTTGTAAAAGGATTAGCGCTCATCCAAATGACAATTAACAACTAAGCAGGAAATAAATTGCAAGCGGAATACTATACAGCAGTGTAAAATGAGTGCTCTGTGTACTGACACACACATAAACCTCTAAAATATAATTGTAAACCAAAACTACAGAAGGATATGTAGAGTAAATACATAGGACACAGATGGATGCATAAAGTATCCAAGGAGCACACAGAGTATACATATGGACAATACATAGAACATATGGCCTGTTGGGGCTCTGGGTTCCATTCCTAGCAGTACAACAAGAGGAAAAGGGAGGGAGAGAGAGAAACTTCTGAGGGAATCATAACGTGGCATTGTTTTCTTCCCATTGGGCGTGGGTGTGTGCGTGCACATGCCTCCGTGTACATGTAGGAAGGTCTTATCTCTCTGAGTGGCACACGCCTGTAATCCCAGCACTCAGGAGGCTGAGGCAGGAGGACTGCTGTGAGTTCATGAGCTGCCTGAGCTACAAAGTGAGCTCAAGGCCATCCTGAACTGCATAGCGAGATCCTGTCTCAAAAAGACAAAAATAAAGTAGGTTACTTAGCAACAAAAAGCACTTGCGCATCATTTGTTGGAAGTACTGTTTTCCCCCAGCTGACTTGAAGACAAAAATTATTTGTTTTTCTGTGTTTGAAAATTCTGGTTACAGGGGCTGGTGGGATGGCTCAGTGGTCTAAAGCACCTACTTAGAACAAGCTTAGCAAAGCATCAGGGGCCGCGGTTCAATCCCCCAGCACCACATGCCAGCCAGCCCCGCCCCCTGGTGGGCTGAGCTGGCCACACACACACACACACACACACAGAAACCCTCAGTTCAGGGAGATTTATATGGGGTCCCCAAGACCCTGTTCCTTGAGGGCACCTCAGAAACAGGGTCTGGTGCCAGTAAGGACAGGGAAAATCAGTTGAGGAGAGAGGAGAGTGTCTTTTCTTCTGCGGCAGGATTAAAATGAAAAGAGGAGGGGAAAAACCCAGGCAGGCTGGGAGCGGAGAGGACACTATGAATGAGAACAGCAGGAACAGGCCTGGTTGGTTTTCTTTTTCATGAAGTTGAGACATTCCAAAGCTGACCCCAGACAATACAGTCCCATGTTGGGGAGTTTGTTTCGTCTAAAACATAGCATCCGCCTCTGCTTGCAGGAAGCGCTTGACTGTTGTTTCTTAACTCTGTGGAAGGTTGTTGCGCTGTGTTTTGTTTTTGTATAATATGATAGACACATTGCCCAGGCAGCCACTTTCTAGGTTTTTCATCATGTGTCAAGGTAAGCCTTTAGAAAACTCCCCCACGGACCACGGGGAGGTAATTTCCTGCTAATACAGAATGCTTAAGATGGAGAAAGCCAACTTTTCAATATCGCTTCAGGGACCATATTTTGTGCATTCAACCCAGCTGAATGCAGACAAAGTCAAGAAAGAAAATTGAGCGTAGTCATCTGACAGGGGATTGAAGGAGCGCTGAGGAGCCAGGTCAGTTGGCGCCCCCTGGTGTCCAGAGGCAGCGGCGCGACCCACTGCTGCAGGCCTCGTCTGTTTCTTCTGTGTGAACGCCTCCTTCCACGGTCCATCTTAAAAGCCTAAAACAGAACTGACAATCTGGCAGCCCCCAGAGACAGCAGGCAGACATGCCCACTGTTTAAAAATCTGGAGATTCTGATTTTTAAAAATACAAGTCTGGTCTTTCTTTTGAAAAACTGGAATAATCAGTGCTAGATGAGGCTGCAACCCAGAATAAAAACTACGAGCTAAAGCTGAAAAGCTGCTGTCCACTTTGACAAGGCAGCGCCCTCAAATTCACCGCACTCCCCTCCTCTCCCTACCGTCTCACACCCAGGCCGTTTCGCTTATGAGGAGTTTCCATGTAGCCTCTGGGTTTCTCTCCATGGCCAGGCTCCTTGGAGTTTATTCTGGAATGAAGAGAGAAGGGTACCTTTAAAGGTGGTGACCATGTCCCTTTATTCCTGTATGTGAACAGCACCACACAACCTCCATGATACTCAGCTCTGCAGAGTTTAAGTGACTTCTCCAAATTGGTGGGCTTGGCGATGGCCCAGCCAGCTGCCTGACCGCTGAGCTACCCTGTGATCTGCTACACCAACTGCGTCCATGCTTGGCATAGCCAGCCCTCCTCTGGGGAATGTTTATACGCTGCCAACTTCTTGTACCATCCAAAGCGAAATTCAGAGGACTCCAAGACAACCATGTATAAGACCTCTGTTCAAACAACCGAAAACAAGCCATCAAGATAACTGCCATCCTGGTGTTATTCCATAAGAGCTCTAGTGTCTGCCATGCATTCTGAGACCTTTCAAATTCAAATCAAACCAAATTCCTGGAGCATCCACACTCCCTGCTGGAAGTTGAGGGAAATGGATCCAGTCTCGAGGACTCTTGGCAGGCAGGGGTGGGTGGCTGTGTGCTCTCTCACTTTAAAATGTCCCCCAGTGTTCTACAGGACTGCATGCCTATGGTCATCAGTCCTGACTCCAGCCTGGCCTGGACCTGAATCTTGTGCTTCGCAGAACTAGAACCAGGATTAGACCTGCGCGGGCTGCGAGGGTCTCTCCCCAGTGGTCGGAGCCAACTGGTAGCTGTAGGGCTTGCTTCTGAAAAGAAGAAATAAAGCAGGAGACTGCATCACCTAGAAATAACTGTGACAGGAGATACTCCTCAAGTATGTGCTCTGGGCCAGATGCAGACTCATACCAAATCCACCAAGAGGCGCTAGATCACATTATCCTCAGTTTATAGAAAAGGCTGGCTCACTCGCTAGAAAGTGTCAGCAAGTATGGAACCCAGGACGTGAACTAAGGCTACGAGGCTCCGTGTGTCACGTGAGGGTCACGCCCAAATGCATCAAGCCCTCTGCAAATCCCAAACTTGAGGGCAAAGCGAAGTAGACGGACGCTCTGTCTCCTTATTACTGACGCAGTAACAAGTTGGAGTTACTGGCTCAAGAACAGGGTGTGAACTGGCAGTCTGAATCCAAATCCGAGCTCAGATTCTGACTCCAGAATCTGTTCTAGAATTTTAATAATCTTAGCATTTCCAGAGTGTGTCCCTATATGGTTAATTCCATACATGGGTTAAGATGGAGGTTTTAACTCTGTTTCAAGGAAAAAAAAAAAAAAAAAAAAAACCCTCTCTGGAAACCAAAAGAACCTGTCAGGCCTGTCTCCAGAGGTCGCGACTTGGCGAGATGCCTCCCGCTTATAACTCTAGCATTTTGGGAGTCAGAGGCAACAGCATCTCAAGTTCGAATTTACAGGCAGGAGGATCGCAAGTTTGAGCCTGGCCTGGACAATTCAACGAGGCCCTGTCTCAAAATATAACAACAATAATAGGGCTGGTGTCTGGCTTAGTGGAAAGGCCCGGAGTTCAATCCTCAGTACTGCAAAAAAGGAAAAACAAAATACATACGCAATGGAGGACATAAAACCGATGGAGAAAGGGAAAGGCAGCGCAAACCCAACAGGAGAGGGCAGAGCCTAGAAACAAGGGCTGCAAAGTCCAGACCAACTTGGAGACCACCAGAAACCTCATTTTACGCCCGAAGAAACTGAGGCACACGAGGACAGTCCCGGGAGGAGACGAGGTAATAGTTCTACTGTTTGGAGGTGTGAGATTGAGAGCCTGACACCTACACACCGCTAATCCTGCACCCACGCCCAGTTCTACGCGCGCGCTCCTCCCAAATGTGGCCTAGGCCCCGCCCCCCGTTGCTTATTGGCTGTTGTAGCGGCGAGTCCTACTCCAGCGACAGCCAATGGGAGTGGCCCACGGCCTGCCTTTCTCGAGGTAACTGAGGTCAACGCGGAAACCCGGAAATGCGAAAGACTGACAGGTGAGGAAGGCTAATCCGCTGCGACAAGGATGTCGGGCAGCCCAATGGAGAGTCGTAGAAGGCGGGGCCAAGAGGCGGACGGAGGAGGCGGTGCAGCAAGCCTGCCGCCACGGAGTCGGCCGGCTCCGGGAAGGAGGCGGGAAGGCCCGGCATCTGCGCGGTGAGGAGGGGCGAGCCTGAGGGGCTCTGGGAGGTGCGGCGGGAGTTAGAGACCTGAGCGGGGTTCGCAAAAAGCCGGTTCTTTCAGACCTTAGGGCAGACCTTTGGGCTGTCAGCGCCTCAGTTTACCCCTTTCTGCGGAAGTGAAGGCCAAGAGTTTGGCGCCTTACGGAGTGCACAACCCCCTGGCCCTGGCGAAGCCCTTGCCCTTACAGCTGCTCGAGCATCCCCGAGGCCACCTGTACCCCAATTCGAATGACCTACGGCCACCGGACGGGCTCGCCCACGAAGCTTTGAGCCCTGTCATCACTCAGGCGTTTCGGGACCAGAGCAGGTGCACAGAACAACTTAGCAGTTATCAAGACTGAGATTTAGACCTGGGGCTCTGGTTTCAGATTTCTGGGTTTCATTCTGCTTTTGTTTACCGGCTGTGAGACCTTCTGGAATTTACCTTGCCCTGCCATTGCCTCGGTTTCCCTCATCTGCAAAACAACTGTAAGTAGTTTTTCCTACAGAGGGTGGGGTGAAGATTAAATGCGGTACTGTGAGGCTGGCACCGGCTTGGGGCTCCGCACAACACAGGGGCCCAATAAAAGCTTATTGTTAGCATCACGGTGCCCTCGGACCTGGCCCTCCATCCCCGAGTCCAGCCCCAGCACATGCAAGTTGTCCCCGACGCGGAGCAGCCACGCATTCTGGCCAGGGCCTGAGTTCCTTTTTGATGCTTAGCTGCCACACCTCTGAGCGAGGTCCCCGGTGGACAGGCCAGGAAAGGAAGGCCCCAGAGGGAACAGCCTTACCAGGGTGAGGGATGGGAAGGCAGCCACCCATGTAGTACTAACTAGGCTGCTGGACAGCGGTGTTTCTCAACGGATGGGCCTTAGAACCAGGGCCCAGCTCCAGGGGGCGCATGTGTACTTATGTCCCAAATGCCAGGTGTTGGAAGGCAGCAGAGATTGCTGGTGAAGGGGTGTGCTTTATAAAGAGCCATGGGATTCCTGAGTTCAGGCCCTTCGGGTTTCTCTGCTTGCTGGGTGACTGAGCGAGGGACTTCACTTCTGTGAGCCTCAGTTTGCTCACTGGCCTAGTGGAGTGAAAAGAGCAGCTCAGGCAGCTATTGAAGATGGCAGGAGATAACATGTGTGGAATGTTCCGTGCAAGGGCCGGCGTGTGTAAGTGCTCAATAAGCCCTGGGTGGTGGCAGCGTGACTTAAGTCAACTGCCCTGCGAGGGGCACCATGCCCTCTAGGCTGGCCTCTCTTCCCCAGGAGAGCCACTCTTTGTCTTCCCAACTGCCTGGTCCCTAGTGATTCGGTGTGGGGAACGTGGTCTCTTCCCTTGCTAAATCGCAGCATTCGTGTTTCCTTCAGGTCCTGCTCTTTCTCGGCTAACTGTGGACATGTGTACAGGGCCCAGCCCTGAGTCCAGATGATGCTTGTACCAGTGGCTTCCGTGATGGCCGTGGCTGAGCCAAAATGGGTCTCAGTGTGGAGCCGTTTCTTGTGGCTGATGCTGCTGACCATGGCGCTGGGGTCGCTGCTGGCCCTGCTCCTGCCACTGGGAGCCATGGAGGAGCAGTGTTTGGCCCTATTCAAAGGCTTCTACCTGCTCAGGAGCAAATTAGACAGGGCACAGCATGCTGTCCCCAAGCGCACCAGCCCCTCCACTGAGCTCAGTGTCACCTCCAGCGACGCGGACCTGCTGGTGATCAGGACCAAGGCATCCCCAGGTGAGACAGACTGGCCTCCCTCTTCAGGCCTTGCTAACTGGACAGATATCTGCATGCTGGCCCGCTGTGTCCTGTGGGGTACAATGGTGAAGTCAGCGCTGAGATCCCAGGTGACACAAGCCGGCAGGTGACTTAGCATATGTTATAGGAAAGCACAAAGCCCCAATTGTGTGACCCAAGGAGAAGGGCAAGTGAGGAAGACTGTCCTGGGCAGACACTAGAGCGGAACAGACCTGGGGACACTGAGGAGCTCAAAGAAGTTGAGTGTGTGTGGCTGACACCCGAGGCCTGGAGAATGGGGCAGAGACAAGAGGGCTGGACCCAGTGCAGGTTCCTGCACCTCCACTAGAACCTCCCATGTGCGTGGCAAGATGGGGAGCAGCAACCTCAATCCCAGCAGCACATACGTACGTCCCCCAGTTGTGACACCAGACACATCTCTAGACATTGCTAGGTTCCCCTCTCAGGGACAACTGAACGACTGGGCTAAAACAGTACAGGGAAGGTGAGGCCATGGGACCAGCAGAAGGGGTAGGGGAGCTGAACAAACCTCAGCCTGAAGGGAGCAAACAAGCACCAGTGGCACCAGCAAGGGCTGAGCTAAAGAAGACGGAGAGGGCCACCCATGATGGCACCACAGTAGGGAAGGCACAGGGGCACAAAGGCAGTGGTCCCGGTGTGAACTCAGTGTGGCTAAGGTAGGGGAGGTGGGCTGATCCTGGCGTCCCAGGACACCTGCCCGGGGACAGCGCCCCTGAACATCCTTTGTCACTGCACCCTTGCTGACAGGCTGCTTTGGTCTCTGTAGCAGGCAAGCTGGAAGCCAGAGCAGCTTTGAACCAAGCCCTGGAAATGAAGCGCCAGGGCAAGCGGGAGAAAGCCCACAAGCTCTTCCTATACGCGCTCAAGATGGACCCAGACTACGTGGATGCCCTCAATGAGTTTGGCATTTTCTCAGAAGAAGACAAGGACATCATCCAAGCAGATTACCTGTACACCAGGGCACTGACCATCTCACCCTTCCATGAGAAAGCACTGGTCAACCGGGACCGGACGCTGCCGCTTGTGGAGGAGATCGACCAGAGGTACTTTAGCATCATTGACAGCAAGGTGAGGAAGGTAATGGCCATCCCCAAGGGGAACTCAGCACTGCGCAGGGTCATGGAGGAGACGTACTACCACCACATCTACCACACGGTCGCCATCGAGGGCAACACCCTCACGCTGTCCGAGATCAGGCATATCCTGGAGACACGCTATGCCGTGCCGGGGAAGAGCCTGGAGGAGCAGAACGAGGTTATTGGCATGCATGCAGCCATGAAGTACGTCAATACCACCCTGGTCTCACGCATTGGTTCTGTCACCATTGGTGATGTGCTAGAGATCCACAGGCGGGTGCTGGGCTACGTGGATCCAGTGGAAGCAGGGAGGTTTCGCATGACCCAGGTCCTGGTAGGACACCATGTCCCTCCCCATCCCCGGGACGTAGAGAAGCAGATGCAGGAGTTCATACAGTGGCTCAACTCCGAGGACGCCATGAACCTGCACCCGGTGGAGTTTGCAGCCTTAGCACATTACAAACTTGTCTACATCCACCCTTTCATCGATGGCAACGGAAGGACCTCACGCCTGCTCATGAACCTCATCCTGATGCAGGCAGGCTACCCGCCCATCACCATCCGCAAGGAGCAGAGAGCTGAGTATTACCACGTGCTCGAGGTCGCCAATGAGGGCGACGTGAGGCCTTTCATCCGCTTCATTGCCAAGTGCACCGAGACCACCCTGGACACCTTGCTTTTTGCCACGACTGAGTACTCGGTGGCACTGCCGGAAGCCAAACCCAACCATTCTGGCTTCAAGGAGACGCTTCCTGTGAAGCCCTAGCCCTGTCCATGCTGTCTGCAACAAGAGAAGCCAGGGATGGGATCAAAGAAACTTAGCAATTCTACAAACCTAATCAGCTCCAAAAGTGAAAGGAAACCTTTACACATTACCTCCAATTTTTCAGTTTAAAAAAAAAAAAAAAAAAGCTAAGTTATTAAGGCTTGTATCTAAGATAACTTATAATTCAGCAAAGTTATTTATTTTTTTTTTAGCAAGCAATGTAGTGAGCCTGCTGTCGCAGTGCTGGTGGCTGCTGTGGCAGCCCCACATGCTTTAGGGGCACCTGTGCTTCTATAGGACCGGAACCAAGGTTCTGGAGAATTTGCACTACAGTCAGGGAGAGAAGCCAGAGCAGTGGGACGAGGCCCAGAGCCACCGGAAGATTAACTGCGTATCTTGCACCGCACTGGGAAGTCCACTCCTGGGAAGAACCTGTCCCAGTCCTGAGAAATGACTGCAAGCCGCCCTCTCGGGTCTTTGGAACCCTTCCACTGAATTAGGGTGGTGGCTTTTACTGGTAGAGCCACTTCTAAGCTTTGATGTGAATGTTGACATTTCTAGTTAGATAGCTTGTTTCCAGGCGACCCTTTGAGCCATTCCTTGCCGATATCAGGCCCAAGGCTGTTTTTTCTTGAGACTGTTTTTCTAATTAAGGAGAGGAAGGCTGCCACATGGATGTCGTTTGTGGCAGTGTTGCCCTTGCACTTCATATGCAGCAGTGCAGACCAGACGTTTTCATCTAGGACAGAGACGGTGAACTTTTCAGGGCTTTCAGCGTCACCCAACAGCTGCACCATGCTGTGAAGCTTGCCTGCCCTCAGCTCCCACTAGGCAGCTGAGAACAATGCCACTTCACCCCAAAGCAGCATTTCCGCTAACAAATTAGAACCAAGGACACCTCTGACCACAGCTGGCATGTCCCTGTACTTATTCGGTGGCCTCCCCTCACTGCCCCTGCACCGCCTCATACCACTTCGTGCTGTCCAGTCCCCTGCGGAGGCGAGACTGTCTCAGAGTGGCCTTATTTTTCTAGTAACCTGTAGAATGACCAATGTCATATAGAATACAGCCAGGTTTCTGAGCTGTCATCTTAAGGAAATAGGATCTTTCAATCATATATGGCACAAGGGCCAGTGCAAATGCTGCTATTTAGTATCAGAAAGGCTGGAAATCGCTAGCTCCCTTTCCAGGGACAGAGGCTGCAGTGTTAACTCTGTTCCGCCCCTAGGGGATGTGTGAATGACGGTGACCAAAGTGGTGTCACATCTTTTCACTTTTGCATACAGTTCCTGATGGTCATGAAGTCTACTCAGATGTGTTTATACAGTTATTTATTTGTGTGGCAAATTCAGAGTCGCTTTCTGAAAGGGTTAAGAAAAATAAAAGATGTATGGAACAGCTCCAAATAATACTCAAACCTGGATTTTAAAAAACATTCACAGTAGATGCTGCTGTGAGGCATTTCTGAAACCTGGGCCCTCTTGTTGTTCTGGTTCTATAAGCAGAGCAAGGAGGGCCGACGGGAGTGCTCACTTTGTCCTTTAGTGACAAAATCTGCACTTCAGCTGTAGGTAAAGGATATTACTTTAACAAATTACTGACTCTAAAATAAAGTATGTTATTACACACATTGGAGTTTGCTGTCTTATTCAAGAGGTGTTTCCATTTGTCCTGAGTCACGGGGGAATTCTGAACTATCACCCTGTGACATATAGTTCAGAGGAAACAACAGGTCCTACGTGGTCACATCAGTAGACAAGATAGATCTAGCTGCCTAAACTGCTTACCTAAATTAATGGGGGTGAATTGCTTTTTTTTTTTTTTTACTAAGATTCAAAGAAAATTTTATGTTTCTGTTGATCATTAGCTCAGGGGGGAAACCACCTAAATCCACACGTTCCTGGAAGCTCATTCTGGCAGTCAGAACCCAACACCTAACCTTAAGGTCTTGCTCAAGCCTGAAAAGGCTCAGCCCTGTCCCAAGCCCATATTGAGGGCACAGAGTCACTGGCCCAAAGGCCAATGAATAAAACAGCTGCACATTGTAGGAAAAGGAAAGCTGCATGAACCTGCACTGAGAGGAAATACACAGCTCTTCGGGGACCAGGCCCTAGGCCACCAGCCTCCCTCCGAGATACCCAGTCACCAACTAACAGAACAGGCTTCAAAGTGGTCATCAGAGACCCATCTAGGAGGGGGGACCTGCCAGCAGCCACTGCCAGAGCATAATCTAACAGTAAGGCCTGGAAAAAAAAAATGTTTCACAAGAAAAACAGAGGGAGAGGAACCTACATTTTAAAAAGATTTAAGTTTACCAACCAATGATCATTTATAGGGAAGGAAAACTGGCATTTATTAGACAACAGGAAATCAGATTTGACTTGAGGTGACCAGTGAAGGTATTATTGCTAATGGTGCTATAAAACCACAGCCTGTGCGTCCTCTCCGAGGCACACATGCTCCAGTCTGTCCCCATGGCTGGGTGTCCCTGGCTGAGGGCTGAGGTCCCTAGTGGGAAGGGGGGGTGGGCAGGTACAGTGAGATGGGCCGGAGTGAGGCCAAGGCTCAGTGACAGCATGTAGGAGTTTATTTTAGGGCTGTGTCTACTTTTTTATGTACTGAAATTTGTCCATTAAAAATGCTGAGTTTAAAAAAAAATTAGGAAGCTGATACACAGAAACTGAAACTTACAAAAAACAGACAAATGAGATAATTTCCATGACACCTAAAAGGATTCCCTGATGTTTTTTCCTCTGCAGTGCCTTTGGAGTTTTCCTACTGACCTGGAAACACAGACTTCATAGCAACAAATAGTTGATCAAAGAGGAAAAAAAGCTTAAAAAGCTGAAATGTCAACTGCTGTAAATTCAAGTTTAAAACTGAAGACACATCACTGATGAAATAATTTAAACCAAAGTACAACAGGATTTGACTTACAAAACTTCTATTTACACAACTATCAGGTAAAGCAAGGTACACCCATTTCAAAATACACCCACTTGTGAATGCCTGAGTACCAGAGTAAGACATTTTTAAGAGAATTCCGGTTTAATAAACATAGCTAAATATTTTGAGAATTGAAATTTACAACCGACATGGAATTTAAACAGAATCAAAGGGCAGAAACTCAACATTTAGACAAAGAATACAGATCACTAGTCACTAGAAGAAAAAAAAAAAAAAAAAAAAAAACGGTCCACAGCCAGGGCACTCGGAATTCCTATATAAAACAAGAGCTGTCAAAACATTCTTGCTTGTAGGAAACATAAAACAACAGATGTGTATGTCATTTACAAATACATAATAGAAAACACACAACCTCCTTAAACAAAAATCCACTGATTTCTTTCATGTGACTTAACTACAGTAGGCCATTCGGAAGAGTCACTCACATATGCCGTCTCATCTTTTGTCTTTCAAAAACTAAGAGTGATGGGCACAGGTGCTGTGCAGGGTGTGAGAGAAGTGTATAAAAAGGGCAGAAAGCGCTGAAACAAGTGCATCTCAGAGGCCATGGTCCTGGCTCACTTCCGCTCCTCTCTCTTCAAGACACCAGTGTGCTGGGCCAGCCGCCCTGGGCAGCCTGTGGGGCGATCACCCTCTCCGCCTGCCCTCAATGTGAGGGAGTACTCAGCGTCTCTTTCCTTGAACAGGCTCCCTCTGTCCTTTGTCTGAGCCATGGGAAGGGTCCCCAGGAGCCTGCAGATGCTGCACCAGCCCTTCCGTCCCCAGGGTGCAGTGGGGTAGAGAATGGTCTGCCTGGCCAGCGCGAAGGCACTTCCTGCCTCAGAGTGCCGTTTACTTTCTCAGAAGCAGCTTGGCAAAGTCAGCATTGGACATCTTGGGCGCCTCGCTGGCTGCAGAGGTGGCAGCTGCTGGGCAGGGGGCAGGGCCGTTCTCCGCCTGTGCAGTGCCAGTGGTGGGGCGCTGCAGGGCACGGGGCAGCAGAGCGAGTTGGGTCCTCCCCTTCCCACGCCTGGAAAAGATAAACACTGAAAGTACCTTTCCCAGAAAGCACGCATGGCCCTGGCTTAACTGAAAATAAGACAGGACAATTTTAAAGTTGAAAAATAAAAAACACAAGCAATAAGACAGTCCTGTCCTTGGGCCTGGCCAGTAAGTGATAAACACGTGAACAAACTGCCTCGTTCTCAGCTCTGGCAGGGACCAACCCAGTGCAACAGTCTCATGTGGAGGAGGAGAAGGAGGACACTGGCAGCTTTCAACCCCCAGTAACTGCCACACTCTGCCTCAGCCCATCAAGGGAAAAGCAGAGGCTTCACGGAAACAACTGCAGCTCTGGCTAGAGAAGGGCAAGCATGCAGTTGTCAGGCTTTGCATTAAATACACAGATTAACTGGCAAAGAGGAACTTAAAATAATTACTTCCTTTAAAAAATTCCCAACTGGAATTTTCATTCGAATGAGATTAGATCAGTTTTTGAGTTATCTTCAAGTGTTTCACCTTAAAATGCTTCCTGAAATCTTCAATTTCTCTGTAATGTTTTCTAGTCTTCTATATAGGTCTTGGAAATTTTGTGGTGAGGCTTAATTTAACTTCCATATTTTAATACTCTTGTAAACAACATGTTCTGTTCTTGTCACCATGAAGTGGAAGTACAGTTGCTTTTCAATAAACTTTATTTAAAAAATAATTCCCTTACATAAATGAGAAGTATAAACTGGCTTGCGTCCTCCTGGGACTTGTTCTGTGGGTCCAGCAGGACCCGCGATCACACAGGAGCATCTTTCCCCACCTACAGCACCACTGCGCAACTCCTCCCTGCTGGGCGAACCCTCCACTGCCAGTGCTGGACCAATACGAGCCCGCAAATACTTACGCTCCGTACATTTGCCGCGGCACCATGGGGCCCCCTAGTGCTTTCCTGGCCTCTGGCTTCTCTGGAACTTTCCTCTGAGGGGGATTGCTAATTGCCACTTTGATGATATTCTCTTTAATAGTCATGCCGTCCATCTTCATCACAGCCTGTGACGCCTGGGATTCATTTTCATACTCCACGTAGGCCAGGCCCTGAAAGGCGAGATCCAGAGCCACTGATGCTGCTGGCTCCTCACATGGGGCAGGGGTCGGGCCTCATTGGGAAAGCAGCCAGCCAGGCATCTCTTGCCCAGTCACCACCCCAGCACTGCCATGCTCTACATTCAGGCTTATGCACTGCTTCCCTCTGGCTGCACCTAACATCCCAAACCCCTTCTGGGTCAGCGTCCTGTCTGCTCCAATAGACAGAGCAAGATGGAAGACCGATATGAGTAGAGCAAACACTCGAGGCAGTGGCCCGCTTAGAGGGTAAGTGGCCCAAGGAGCACCAATGTCTCCTGCCCCTTTAGCCCCTCCTTTTCATTCTTTAATTCTCCATCAACCTATGTGGAGAATAGGGTAAGAAGGAATCCAAAACCATGTTTAAAACAATACTCAAAACACAGTATGATAAAGCCAGGCACAGTGACATATAATTACAATCCCAGCTACTCACAGGCAAAGGCAGAACAGTCTGAGGCCAGCCTAGGAAACAGTGAGCCCTGCCTCAAAAAATAAAACACTGTAATGTGAAAGGATTTCAAAGGACATGAGGTTGGGTAAGGAGTCAGGTGGACAGACCACTGACCTGCACAGGGCAATCCTCAGAATGCCTCCCACCTCTGGCCACAGCACTGACCCATCCTAGAGGGCCACACGGGGACACCTGTAAATTTTCACAATTTTCCAAACAACTAATTCTTTTTTATTACAATCAGCTACAAAAGATTAAGCTGATTCTACATGGAAGTGTAGCAATGTGCTTGTTTTTCCATTGTCATTTGTTTCTCGCAGACAAATCAGGAAGCCACTCTAGCACTGAACAGTCCCTGAACAATGTAGAAATGACTCGTCTGCCTGAGTCTCAGGAGACCAGGCAATGTCTGCCCAAGTGCTGACCTTCGGTTTGCCAGCCCTGTTGGTGACCAGTCTGAGGTCTTTCACAGTGCCGTGCACCTTACAGATGTCTTCCAGCTCCTCCTTTGTGCAGGAGAAGGGCAAGCCTGAGATGAACAGCTTGTGCTTCTCCAGGGCGGTGCTGTACCGGAACACCTGCAGGAGAGGCAGGGAACCCATAATTTGGATACGCCCAGCTAGGTGAGGCATTTGTTAACCAACTAACCCAACTGCCTGGGCAAATCACTGTCCAGGCCTTTAAAATGGCAAAGATAAAAGCAGACATTTGAAGCCAGATATGGTGGCATATTCCTGTAATTCCAGCCCCTGGGAGGCTGAGGCCAGTTTGAGCCCAGCCCTGATAATTAAGTGAGATCCTATCTTTAAAAAAAAAGTACAAGTCTGGGGAAGTAGCTCAGCGCAAAAGCCCTGGGTTCAACCTCTAGTACCAAGGAGTAAAAAAGCAGCCATTCATAGAGTTCTGGTAAGGAGTTACTAAGGCCAAAACTAATGCAGCATGACCATGTCTCTCAGTCAGCGTTCCATGGAAAGTAGCCATCATTTCAACTCCTAGCTTCATCATCAATACTAAGCCAGTGCAGCCTCAAAGGGCTGAACCATGGGTCAGACCTGGTCAGGTGTAAGCGCAGCTCCTACGGAGCAGAGCTGTCTGTGCTGGTGCAAATCTGGGTGCTGCAGGGGAAGCACTGTGAAAAGCGCTTCTCCCACTCCCACAAAAGGCATTCCTTGCCCCATGACATACCTTAAAATCAGGGTTTTTGCTCTTATCCACACAGGGGGAGACAAACATCGGCCTCCCTTCCACGTTCTTCCGATCCAGCTCCAGGGCCTGAAGGGCTGACTTCTCATCCTTAAACTCCACATAGCAGTAGCCACGGAAGTCACCACGGTTGCTGAAGATGGGACGGATTTCTGCTACCTCCCCACAGGCCTCAAAGAGTGGCCTGAGCTTCACCTCCGGCTCCCCCATGCTGTAGGGCAGGTTGCTGAGAAAGACAGTAATGCTGTCCTTACTGCTGTCATGGGACACCTTGGGCATGTCCCGCTTCAGGGCAGCCGCCTTCTCCTTCTGCTTTGAAGGGGTCTCAACATCCATGGTTGTGTGTTTTCTGGTGAGTGCTGATTCCTCTTCCGTGCCTGGATCCACTCCTGCTGGAGCCACACTGTTCTCCACCCTTCTGCGCTTGGCAGGCTGCTCTGTGGGTTTCAAGAGAGAATAGCAATGGTCAGCTATCCCATCTCTTCAAGCTTGCACAGGTGCAGGGTGAAGGCTCCTCCCACCTGTGTGTACGAGTCCAAGGGACGGACACACAGGGGCAGGTGCCACACCCAGGGAGGTCTTTCACGGCCCTCCCAGATTGCAGACCACTTTCTGGGCCCCAGCTCTGCTCCAGTAAGTGGGATCCCCAAGGGGAAGCAGTAATATAAATCCCCTTACCCACTCCTCACTATGAAGAAGATCAGAGGTCCCAGACCCAGGGTCCTCTCTGGGAAAGGCCAGGTCAGCCCAGGAGCAGTGCCTACATGGAAACCAGCCCCTAAGCGACAGCTGTACACACTCCACAGACCACGCTTTGCAACGAGTTCCCAAGGGTCTGATTCCTTTCAATACTGTCGTGTGTCCTTCAACAGAAAGACCTCAACCACACTCTACTCCATCCCACACTTACCTATGCCACCAGAGGGCAGTGCCAAAGCTCAGCTGGCATCCATCCTGAGCCCAAATTTCCTGGCCCACTCACCCGCTGCATCTCAGGGGAGCCCACATCCTCACTGTATGGAAGGGCATTCTGAGCTGGGCCGCACTGGCCTGTACCCCAGTTCCAGCCACCCCTAATACTGTCACCAACCTCCTGCTGGGCATCTGAGCACACAGCCAACCCTGCAGCACAGAGAAAACATCAGGTCATTCTGTGCTTCTGCATCTCACTAACTTCACCTTCAGGACTGTGAGAAGCACCTCTCCCTTCCTTCTCTTCCCTTTGTTTCCATAGGATGATCCTCACCATCCCCAATGCCACATGCTGTACCCTTGTGGCAGGGAGTCGGGAGTCAACCCCTGTGCTTTCTTTGTCCCCACCGCAACCCACATCACCTCCCACAGTCCTAACTGCACACTGTGGTCCCAAGTCACGCCTGCCTCACCATGCAGACCAGGAATAAGGTCCCATACACAGAACACAAGAATGGGCAATTAAGGCTGAGGAGATAGCTCAGCAGCATAATCACCTTCCTGGTAAGTGTAAAGTCCCAAGTTCAATCCCCAATAATGTAAAAAAAAAAAAAAAAAAAAAAAAGGATGGGCTATTCTATGATTTTGCCCCTGCTTCAAACCCTCTGCTAACACAGAACACTAGGAAAATGTTCTGAGTCCTTCAATGTCCTGAGAAAAGTCTTTATCCTGACTACTGAAGTAAAGCTGACCAGAGCTGACCAGAGCTGCCCATCCCTGAAATTAAGTGGATGACAGAAACACAACCTGGAAAATTCAGTCAATGGGCCAAGTGAGGCAGGTGCCTATGCAGGGTGGGCCGAGCAGTGGTGCAGCGACTGAAGCCAGGCCCGGGAGGTGTACGCATAGGCAATGGAGAAGGGACCCCACCTTGGGGTACAGAGGGGAGATGACACTGGGCAGGCAGCCACAGTGTGATGGCCGGGTGGAGGGGCAAGGGTGACTGTGCAGCACAGTGGCCAGCACCACACCCTGGGACCACTACGGGAGGAGGGCACCTACTCAGAGGGGAGGCAGGAAACTGACAGAGTGACTGCTGAAGATAACTGAGCCAGGCTTCTCAAAGTCAGAAAAGGGTACTGGTAGCAAAAAAGGAGGAGCCTAGCCCAAGTACCTCAGAGGTAGCTGAAATGCAGGTCCCGGAAAAATCTTATGGCTTTCAACACCACAGAGTGTAAAGTAAATAAGGGTATAAACATATTCCTTAGCTCCACAGTCAGAGGGCCTGCAGCACAATATCCGCCATGGCACGCATGCCCTGAACCCACTAGGTCTACTTGCGACTCCAGGACCCCTGAAGAGAACAGCAGACCACAGGGCCAAGTCACAGGAGAGTACAGGACAAGCCTAGAGCACTGCACGCCTGAGTCGAAGGAAGCGACCAATCAATCGCTTGTCTGCAGCTCAGAGGACAGAGAAGCCTGTGGGAGGGCTTTCTGCTAGCCAAACTAGAGATCATAAGCATCCACCTGAACAGCTGGCCTGACAGATCACAGATGTGAGTCCAGTCCATAAGATACAGAAAAATATAAATAATCTAGAAGCTTGATGAGAAACATTTTGGTTAAATACTTAAGTAAAAGTAAAAAATTAACTTTGCAGCAGAAAAACAAGACAATCACAACCACACAAACCTGAGCAGTAAAGGGACACACTGAAACGATATGCCACCCAATGAAATGCAACAAGAGCACGGCCTGACTGTGTTCCTACAGCAGCACACCAAAATCTAACTACCAGAAATATCAGCCAAATCTGTTCTGTGGGACACAAGTAACTAGCCTATGCCCTTCAGAAGTGCCCAGGTCTAAAGAATGTTCCAGATTGAAGAGTCAAGGCAGAATGGCAAAACAAAACCTTGATGCTAAACTGAACCCTTCAACCACAAAGGACACTACTACTGGGAAGAGGCACATAGCGAGCGGGCCCCGAGGATCCAGCAGTGGGAACAGGCCAGCGCTGACGGCATTGCAGCACACGCTCCATAGTGCGGCAAGGGCGTCAGGCTGGCAGAACATCCTCCAACAGGTCAGGAACACAAAGTTCTCCAGGGTACATGTGCAACTTCTCTGTAGGTCTGAGACGTCTCTACAAAGCCTCCTACCTCCATCAGCATCACCCCACTCTTTCTCATCTTCCTCTTCTCTGGGCTTGTCTGCACCTCTGGGCTTTTTCTTCTTCTTCAGTGCCTTCTTTTCAGCTCGCACCCTCTTCCGCTGTTCCACCTTCTCTTCTTCCTGCTGCGCCAGGGCTGCTTCCTTCTCAGCAGCCTACAAAAGTGGAAACAGGATGGCTCGTTGGGCACAGTGATGTTTCCAATGGCTGCCTAGCTTGCGATGAGACAAGAAGCAGGAGGGGAGCAGTAGATTCACCATCGAGAAGCAGCCCGGGGGAGAGAACAATGAGGGTGCTCACACCCACCCCAGCACTGGGCTCCCGTGGGCCTCTCAGGCCTCCGACCACCAGTGCATGGTAGGCTCACGCTGTTCTCCGCCATGACCCCTGAGAGGGGAAGCCCAGGTTCTAAAGCTGGGGCCCTAAGAAAGTCGGGGGCTCCTGTTCCACTCAGGTCAAGTACAGCTCCTCTTTACTCTTTCTCATCAGTCCCAGTACACTTTAGGTCCCAAATATCCACTACGTGAAAAAGTATTTACTGTGAGAGCCAGTTTTAAACTAACTGAAAAAGATGACAAATGAAAAACTAAGTCTACTTTTTCTTCTTTTTTCATCATTTTAAGACAGGATTTTTCACTTTGTAGTTTCAAGCTGGCCTGGAACTCACTTTGGAGTCCAGCCTGGCCTTGAACGCACAGCAATCCTCACCTCAGCCTCCCACAGGCATGCTCCACCACACCCAGCCACTGAGTCAGCTATTTATAAACTTTATGAATAAGACAGATTTCTTACAAAGACCTACAATGTTTTGACAAAACACTGTATCAAACAGCCACAAGAGCTAGGAGAGGTTCCAACCTCCAGACAACTCTCATTACCTTCATTCTCTGTTCTTTGACGCGTGCTAATCGGGTTTCAGTTTTCTGAACAGCTACATCCCAGTCTTCTAAAGTACCTACACAGAAACAGACGGGAAACTTTCACCCTAGGTTTCTGAAGGGTATAAAGGCATAATTTTCTTTTTCTTTTTTTTTTTTAATGTACTTGGTACATGGTCTCATTATGCAGCTCTGCATCATAGTGATCCTCCTGTTTTCAGCCTCCCAGCGCTGGGATTACAGGTGTGCACCACCATGCCCAGTCTCAGTAGCCGGCTCAGCATGGGGGGGGGGGGGCAGCACCATATGTAGTGCTGGGGATCAAACCCCAGTCCCTATGCTTGCCTAAGCTATCTCGCCAGCCCTTGGACATAATTTTCTTAATCTCTCATATCTCAAGAGCTTTCTCCCTTCAAACAGTAAAAACTGAAGAGTTCCTCCTAAGAAAATATACACAGGCTTGAAGACTGGAATTCAAACAGTCCTAAGTATATTCTATCTGGAGACTAGGTTGGGGACAGGGAGAGAAGAGACTTGAGAGGAGAATAGGACCACAGTGTCATGGTTCACATCTAAAATGTGCCCCAGAAAAATCTCCTGTGTGGGGGAGGTGATTAGATCATGGGCCCAGGTGTGGAGGACCACCTGAGCAGCTCTCCTTGAAAGAGGAGCCACTGTCTCCATTTGGCCTGAGCCTGACCCTATTTCCTCGTATTGTTATGTACAGAGCTGGCCAGGACTTCTGTTTATCCTTCAGTTGGCCTTAAGCAATGTATATTGGTCTAGCTGAGGTGCTGGTGATAGTCTTTGAAGGTGGCCTGCACGTTTCCCTAGTAACCTATACCTGCTGCTCTTTAATGTGAGCCAGGTCGAGACAGGACGGTAGAGCGAGCTCCATGCCACCAGCTGGGATCGAGCCTCAAGACAGAGGCTATGACTTTCTGGGGCTTGAAAGACTACATCAAAGCTGAAGCACTAGACTTACCTAAACATTAGATACTATGTAATGTAGATTACTCTCTGCATATCCTCTTTGCATATGGCAGAGGTAAATTTAGGCCATCCACCTAGCTCAGCTCATGGTAGTCACTTACTTCCCACAATTCTCAGTCAATCCTCCTCAAGCCACTCCTCCACTAAATAAAACCAGGTGAGGCCCTGGGTCACTCTCTTGGTTCCGGAAAGCCATCTTCATGGCTGGACTTAGAGCCCCTCAACTCCCCAATGATTGAAAATATAATCTAGTGTCTTTATTTTTGCCATGGGTTGCATTGAAAGTGGTAGACTGGGATCAACTTGATGGGATTCCAATAACATAACTTTGGGATTACAAATATTAAATATTGGCTTCTTGGACGGAGACAAGGACCTGAAAGTGTCTCCTACACCCAGGGACACAGTTCAGCGGCACAAGGGCCAAATTCAATTCCTGGTACCAAGAAAAAAAGTGATTAGATTGGGGGGCACCACAGCAGACCTGCTATTAAAACGAGGGGCCTGATTGAAGTCACTGGGGAGCACCTTTCTCCCCTCTGCTCTTCCCCTTCCTTCCCCTCTGCTTCCTGGCCGCAAAGCAGTGAGCCAGGCCCTTCCACCATGCTTTTCCTGCTTGCAGTAGACTGACTATTGCCTCACTCCTGTAAAAACATTAAACAAGACAAAACTTTCTCTTCTTCCTCCTCCAAGTTGTGGGTATTGGGTATTTTGTCCCAGTATAGGACAGTGACTGAACAATTTCTTAGGAGCTACAGGCCCTCAATGGCCAAGCTTGTGAAAATACTGATAGAGAAGGCACAACACAGCTATACAAGACTGAAGACTCAAATGCTAAGGTAGTGTTTCTATCGTTGTTCAGGTGTCTGGCCTCCAGGGCTCATAACCCAAGTGCAGACCAGTGCCCACAGATGAATTCATGCTGTTTTACTTTTGTTTCAGGTCTACAGCTTAACATGAGAGCCTCTGGCAGGCTTCAAGGGATATGGGTCTAACAGTGGAGCAGGAGTTCGCCACTGGGGACATTCCCACCCAGGGACATTCATTTTGGCCATGTCCAGAGACATTTCTGGTTGCCACATCTGGTTGGATGGGGAGGGCTGCTACTGGCATTAACAGGCAGAAACCAACTGGCTAAATGTCCTCCAATGTATGGCACAGTCCCTACAACAACGAATTATGAGAAACCCACACTAGGAACACTTCAGAGCCCTAGCAGCTGAAGATGGTGAGAGGAGCCACAGGAGGGCCTGGCCCCATGGTGAGGCCCTGATGACAGTCTAATCAGAGTATGCGCCTGCAAGGTGATGGCCAAGACCACAGTGTGTCCACACAGACTGTGAGCAGACACTCCCACTGCAGACCAAGTGCAAGCAGGCAGGGCTCCAAGCAGAAAGTGGGGGGGGGGGGCGAAGGGTCCCACCTTCTGTCCTTTCCATGGTGAGCAACACTTCACAGACATGTTCAGGATAGTCACTGGTGCACTGGACAGCCCGATGCAGAGCCTTCCGGCAGTGCTGCGTGTCCCCATGTGCCCTAGGACAGAAAATAAACAGCTAGAGGCACAAGGACACAAAGCAAAAGGCACAGGGAGGGAGGAACACTTTTCACACAGGTGGATGCTATGATGGCGCTAGGCTGGGGATCCAGCTTTCAGAACCACCTGTGACATTCTCTCTCTCCTCCACGAGCCTGCACAGTCAGCCTATCAAGCCACTCTCTCCTCTAGGCAGGCAGATAACCATGGAAAACCACCCAGGGCAGTAGTGTGCAGTGGTGTGATCACTCACACAGGTGTAACACACCAGAAGAGGGGGCCATCAATTCTGTACCATTTGATAAGTCCCTAGAGAAATTCTATGCAGTCCTACCAGAGGAGAGAATCAATAATCCAATAATCAAATTTCATGCCCAGAGTCAACTCTGTACTGGCACGGAAAGCCAAGTCGCTGATCACAACAGTTCTCAAGAGTGTACACCCACGCTCCCTTTGGAGGAGACACAAACACATGTAAGTACTGTAAATAGGCCTTAAGATAGTAAGAAAAGTTCAGAGTGCTCCTCAAAGGATGTTTGTTCCTTTTGCCCCTAAAGCCTCTGGTTTCTATCTCTCTTTTCTGTGATGGTACCAAAATACTACTGAATTTTTCCACTGTGTTGATACTTGCAAGGATGGTATAAAAACAATAATGGTCCTTAGCACAAAGTACAGTGCTACGCACCTTTGCAGTATTGTGTCACACAAGGAGAAGTGCGGTACACATAAAACACATCTGATGCATAGCGATAAGACAATAGCTGTTGCAAAGCAAAATGTGTATGTCTGAGTTGCAAAGAGTCATTTTTTTCAAAGAACACCAGTTTTCAATGAGAAAGCACCTGAGTGACAAATTACAGTTTTTTCTGAACGTTAATAAAGTAAATATGCCACTTCAAGGATAGCTACTGACGTTACTCATGGCTAGTGATAAAATCAGTGTTTCCAATTAAAAATTAGAAGTTTGGAAACTTTGTTTCTGCCATGGTGAGCTTGACAGCTTCCTACTAAAGACTTTTCTACTAAAGTCTGTGAGCCTAGAAATACATTTGGGTATATACCTAGTACAGGGGATACAACTCAGACCTCACGCATGCTACACAAGCATTCTACCACTGAGCTAAAAATCTCAGCCACAAATGTAATTTTTTAAAACTATAAATTGAACATGTCAATACTTGAAAAAGCTATACGACTTGGGAAGTCAGTATTTCCCAAATGAACAATGCATGATATCAGAGGATTATTAGCATTGGGTAAAAAATAAAAGTAAAAAATGGGCAAATAAACAATAGTGTACAGAATACAAACATCAGTAGCAGTTCAGGTCCTGCCCTTTAAGAAACTATCACTTGTTGAGCTTTGCTGTAGTAAGGAGAACATTCATAATGATTTGAAAGGCTATTAAAATGCACTTTTCTTTTCTAACCTCATGTACAGGAAGCTCAATTTTTTCCATGATTCAATGAAAACAATGCATCACATTAGACTGATCCAAAACAGACATGAAAATTCAGTTATCTTTTAAACTATGCCAGAACAAAGACATTTGCAAAAAAGTACAAGATATTGCCCACTAAATTATTTTAAGGATTAGAAAACACAGGCTAGGGCCAGCCAGATAGCTCAGCAGATTACAGCACCTGCTTAGGCAGCCATGGGAACCAGGGTTCAATCTCCAGCATGCTGTGCTGGCCCCACCCCAGGTGCACTGAGATGGCGACTGAGACTGGGCATGGTGGCATGTGCCTGTAATACCAGCGCTTGGGAGACTAAAAACAGAAGAAGCACTATGAGTCCAATCTGTGTAGTAAGACACTGTAGACCCTGTACTAAAATACAAAAAAAAAGAAAACATAGGCTTATTTCAAAATGCTATTTATGTTAAGTAGATTCACTTTTTAAATGAATAACATTTTTAATGTTTGGTTTTTTCCAAATGGTAAATACCAACATAAGCATGTATTTGTAAATGTGTTCTGTTTTAATTTGGTCACACATCTTTTTTTTTTCTGTATTTTTTTTAAGGAAGGGTCTACAGGGTGTTTAGGGTCTCACTACTAGACTGAACTCAGTGATCTGCCTGCTTACAGCCTCCCAAGAGCTGGGATTACACGTGCACACCACCAGGTTCAGTCTCAATTGCTGCCTCGTGCACCCTAGGGGCGTGGTTGGCACAGTGGGCGCAGGGATTGAAACCCCGGCCCCTGCGCCTGCTTGCAAGTGCTTTAATCCACTGAACTATTTGGCCGGCCCACACATTATTTCTTAAATATAAGAAAAAAGTGTTCAGAAGTAAAAAAACAAATTTGGGGCTGGAGAGATGGCTCAAT